TGTTTTAGATTTTTCATATATGGAAAATGAGGTGACTTCGAATATCCATTTGCAATCCGTTTCCATCCATCGGTTTAACGGTCGAATCTTAAAGCATCTCGATTCATATAGGATAAAGGAACAATAAAGAGTAAGTTTTTGCTTATATTACGATGTATTTCTATTTTCAAACATAAACAAAAGCTCGAAAGGGATGCTGGTGGACCATGTCCCTTTAAGTGATAGCCATCTTTGATTTTGAAAACTTTCAACTAAAAACAAACTATCGCAAAGCTTCTCGGGTGCAAGTGCACCTTCAAATAGCTTCTAGGCTCAGAGCGCTGGCCCAAGAAATGTTGGGTCTTAGGGCTCATTTTTCCACAGGGATCCCACATTCATCAAATAATTAAGTTACCTACAGAATATATAGGTTGTCTTTAAAGGGTGATTAAGATATTTAAAAAAAATAGACAGGCATAATTAGGATGACTTAATGAATAAATAAATAAAACAAAAGTTATAGCTGTTGTTGTTGTGTTTTAGTTTTGGCAGAGTTTAAACACTGGTTAACTCGCAAAAGTTTTGTAAGATTTGATGCAGGATTAGATAATCAATCTTTGAACAATACTCCAATTTCGAGTTCTGGTTTGCTCTGTGTTAGCCTCAAAACCAAGTAACATATTCTTTTGTTTTATTGATAGCCCAAGAAAACGCATGGAATTTGAAAAGAAAAACAATGGAATTGATTTGAACTCCCACACTTTTATTCTCACAATTAGGAATATTTTGTGCACAAATGAGGCTAACACAGAGTCACAGAGCATTGGAGAATTCGAAACTGGATTATTCGGTCCCCAATCTGTCCATTGCCCATTGTCATTCAACAATTGCATGCTTGCTTCGACTCTTTTACGCCTGTCAAGTTGAGATGAGTGGTAACTCAATTCAAATCCCACATTTGCACCAACTGATAATTTGCATCATTTGATGAGGTTTTTGTGATATCCAAAATAATCAAGACCAAGGTCAAGGGTGATCACACTTGCCGAGACCTTGATTATTTTAAATATCCCCAAAACTTCATCCAATAATTATTTTATTATAATACATTGTTTGCTTTGAAAAGAAGAAACTATAAAATTTAAATTGCAAAGCTGCAACGAGCACACGTACCTTATCAATGCATGGACGCGCAAACTACAGATTTTTCTAAATAGTAGGCAAGAGTCTGCATTATGAAAATTACATGTCTGTTAACCGGTAACAATTGTATAATAATTCGCATTCATATGCCTTGCATCATTCAACGCTATGATTTCAAAAAGAAAAATACCTTCACGCATTAATTAAACAAGTACAAAACTTTTAAAATAGCTTTATTAGACATGGATATTTTTTGTGCTGTTTTTTTAGTCTACATGCATGCAATTATTAGCTTATCACTAGGAATCTTGTCTTAATTTAGAACTATGACAATAAAATGAAATTCAAAATTATATATAAAAAAATTAATTCCAAAAAATTATAGATTTATCAATAAAAGTTCGTAGAACTTTCATAATACATAAAATGTTTTAGTTCTGCAATCTTCTGATTGTACTAGGTACTACTAAAATATTAATGATTAATCTTAGATTTCTGGTAATGTTATTTCATAACTATACACATTATTTTCTACCAAATACAATGATATTCTAAATATAACATTCCTTATATCTACAGCTCATATTGTTACAATATAAGTCAGGCACAGCCATAAGTTTCTTGCTGTTTTGCCAGCTGTTGTTGACTGAGGTACAGATGAGTTAAGACTGTTTTTTTACAATGTCTGCACAGCTTGAATAAGTTGTTACCCAACCAGGGAGGCCTAGGGTGTGCTAACACTTGCCCAAGGTGTACACCCAGACTAGTGGAGGGAAGGAGACGCCTTACTTCTCCATTCTAGACCGGCTCCAAGCAAAGCCTAGCCACTGCCCACTTACGTTACACCCAGTCACACCCAGACTAATATATGGAGGGAAGGAGACGCCTTACTTCTCCATNAAATTTAAGAAAGTTCAGTTACTTGATAAAGACCTCCAGGCTTTTGTAGGTCAAACAGTTCCTCTGCCACTTGAACACCATATTTTGCCTTCACATCCTCAACTATGGCAGCCATCAAGATGCCCTGTTCAATAATGTAATGAACTTTACCATCACTTTTCAACCAAAAGCCTCCACAATGAAGTACCAATAGGTAGCCATGCTGTAGCAACACCCCTGGAGATCCTGAGGCTCCATGGTAGAAGGTGCTGACATCATAAGTTTGTCGTCTCTGATCTAATAGGTCCTGCTGTGGCTTTTGTGATAAACATATCACATATTTTTCATCAAGAGTATCTGTACTCCTCAATGGACACATCAAATCTGTAATTGTTTCGCATGATCCATCAGGGTGCCCACTGAAGGTGAGAAACATACCCTCTCGAGCACGTTCAACTGATGGTGGAATTATAAAAAACGACGTAACACTTTTTGGCAATTTGCAATCGTTCGGGTTCATAACCTCAAATATTACATAATCAAGTTCCTCTGACTCACTCAAAGAAGTATTACAAAAGAACTTAGGAATGAAACTCGTTAAGTTAGTTGTGTAGCAAAAGTCAATAGCAGCATATTGTAGCATTTTTTTTGTATTATAATCTTTGATGATGTTATAAACATGCCAATTTGTTATAACATACTTTGACCCGACCCTAAAACAGGTGCCTACAACTTGCCGTTTACCACTGGTCAGTACCATAACTATTGCACCTGTAGAATCTAATAATTGATCAAGTTTCTTCACATCTGATGAACGTAATGCAAAGTTGCGGTTGAGAGCAAATTCTTTATACCCCACCTGGACAAACTTATCAATTTCTTCTTGTCTTTCTTTCTCTTTTGCTTCTGGTTGTTCCTTCCTGACTTTAATGTTAAAATTACATTGCATGAAAATTTCAAACTCCTCAACAGTAGGTAAAATTATCTTCTTGGCGGCAGAATTACTGCCATGCATTGATAAGCTTTGATCTGGTATTTGAGCTGAAGCAACACCTGATTCTACTGTAGTTCCAACAGAAGTAACATTTGGCTGCCCACTCGATTCTTGAGTTAGTGATGCTTGATGCTGGTCCAATTTCCCTGGTGGGGTCTCAGGCAGTTCTTTCTTGATAACCAGTTCACAAGGCTGCTCTAACAAGGCTGACGGACAAGTCAATTGTTTCACATGACCAGCAATTAGCATAGTCCCCTCTCTACGTTTTAATTTAAAAATTTTTGAATGTGAAGCTTGGTCTTCAAGTGACACATCGGCTTTTTCCTCGTCTTCAAAATGACAACTGCCAATTTTCAGATTTCCATCGTCTTTGATTTTATCAAAACGTCTATCTCTCACTAAAGCTTCAAAGTATGTTTCTTCTCCATTGAAAAATGGGACTTGTAAAATATCAGCAAATTGTGCCATTGAACTGACAGCTGGTAGTTTGCGTCCTTTCTCAGATATTTTGACATAAAAATATTTTATGTCCCAAGAATCATCGAAGATGGCAACATCAAATTTCCTCATCGACTTTTCAGCATGGTGTTCAGGCCGATGCATACTTCTGCATTCATAAGTAACACTTTCATCAAGTACACCAGTGGGAAGTCCAAGGTTAATAAGACAAGATCTGTTTGAAACAGACTGAAAGACTAAAATTTGTTGGTGTTTTTGGGGGATTTTCTTCATTATCATGTTAAGTACACTTTCTTTCCCATCTGTTTGGCATCTAAAGAGTTTATTGTTTATCATCACCTTTATGACCTTTATATTCAGCCTAATGAAAACAATTGATTTTTAAGTTAAATTTCATTAGAATTCATTTCAGATTGAGATGATAAAATCACTTTGTGAATTTATCAAATAAATTATTTTAATCATCACAGAAGGGTGATGGCTTTTCTTCAAAATTTATAAGAATACTATATTTATTATCATCAATTTTACTTCCCTCCCCATCACAGCATGTTTACAGGGTGGGTAGAATAGCCCAAAACCATGGAATGCTGTACTGAGTGCATTCATTATATACATGTATTCTAAAACACTTTTTTAAGGAAATTGTGAAATTGCACTAATTAAACAATAGATTAGGTAAAGCAATTATATACTAATTTCCCTAATTTAGTTTACAAAGCATTTCAGAGATACACTTAATGCACTCTATCTTTCTAAAAGTCAAAGTGACAATACATGTATTGAGGGCAGATGTGATATGTCATGAAAAACTTACTTTCTTTTCAGCTTTCTTTCTTTGTCATCATTGTTCTCAACTTTAACACTAAACAAAGTGAGAGAGAAATAAGGCAATCATATTTGATTCATGAACTAGAGTATAGCCTGCTTAATGAGTTATTAGACCAATAGAATGAGCCCATTTGGTCACATACATGTACAGACCTTTGTAATATATACAATATGAGCAGCAGATCTGTATTGGGAATACAAAGGCTCGTCATTGTGTTCCCAATACAGATTGGATGCGAATGATATGATAGACATCATTGAGCACATAAAGTTATCATATCTTATATTATATACGCTGTGTCTATATGGCCGATTACCAGTCAAGGTCTTGAAAATGCTAAATGGCCGGCAGCCCATAGAATGTGTTTTTTCCCTCTCTTATTATCTAAACGAGCTTCCAAACTCCAAAATAAAACTCTACGAGTAAAATGAGCGTGTTAAAACTTACATAAACGGCCATTAAAATGGAGTGTTAGAATTTTTTACTAGTGGCCACAAGCAAGAGAAAATTAACANAATATAAGTCAGGCACAGCCATAAGTTTCTTGCTGTTTTGCCAGCTGTTGTTGACTGAGGTACAGATGAGTTAAGACTGTTTTTTTACAATGTCTGCACAGCTTGAATAAGTTGTTACCCAACCAGGGAGGCCTAGGGTGTGCTAACACTTGCCCAAGGTGTACACCCAGACTAGTGGAGGGAAGGAGACGCCTTACTTCTCCATTCTAGACCGGCTCCAAGCAAAGCCTAGCCACTGCCCACTTACGTTACACCCAGTCACACCCAGACTAATATATGGAGGGAAGGAGACGCCTTACTTCTCCATTCTAAACTGGCTCCAAGCAAAGCCTAGCAACTGCCTACTTAAGTTAGCTATAAACTAATTCAGCTAATTTAGAGACTTCAATATGTGTAGGAAACTTAATCTAGTTTACACCAATTCTACAGAGAGAGTAAATTTAAGGAGGTTCCGTTACTTGATAAAGACCTCCAGGCTTTTGTAGGTCAAACAGTTCCTCGGCCAGTTGAACACCATGTTTTGCCTTCACATCTTCAACTATGGCAGCCATCAAGATGCCCTGTTCAATAATGTAATGAACTTTACCATCACTTTTCAACCAAAAGCCTCCACAATGAAGTACCAATAGGTAGCCTTGCTGTAGCAATACCCCTGGAGATCCTGAGGCTCCATGGTAGAAGGTGCTAACATCATAAGTTTGTCGTCTCTGATCGAATAGGTCCTGCTGTGGCTTTTGTGATAAACTTATCACATATCTTTCATCAAGAGTATCTGTACTCCTCAATGGACACATCAAATCTGTCATTGTTTCCCCTGATCCACCAGGGTGCCCACTTAATGTGAGAAGCACACCCTCTTGAGCACGTTCAACTGATGACGGAATTGTAAAAAACGATGTAACACTTTTTGGCAATTCACCACTGTTTGGGTTTGTAACCGGCTCAAATATTACATAATCAAGTTCCTCAGACTCGCTTATCACAGAAGTATTACAAAGGAACTTAGGAATGAAACTCGTTAAGTTAGCTGTGTAACAAAAGTCAATAGCAGCATATTGTAGCATTTTTTTTGTATCATAATCTTTGATGATCTTATAAACATGCCGATTTGTTATAACATAATTTGACCCGACCCTAAAACAGGTGCCTACAACCTGCCGTTCACCACTGGTCAGTAGCACAACTAATGCACCTGTAGAATCTAATAATTGATCAAGTTTCTTGACATCTGATGAGCGTAATGAAAAGTTGCGGTTGAGAGCAAATTCTTTATACCCCACCTGGACAAACTTATCAATTTCTTCTTGTCTTTCTTTCTCTTTTGTTTCTGATTGTTCCTCCCTGACTTTAATGTTAAAATTATATTGCATGAAAATTTCAAACTCCTCAACAGTAGGTAAAATTATCTTCTTGGCCTTGGCGACAGAAATTTGTTGATCTTTTTTGAATTTCTTCATGATCATGTCCAGTACTCTCTCTTTCCCATCTGTTTGGCATATATAACTTATATCGTTTTTCTTCACCTCTATATTCAGCCTAATGAAAACAATTGATTTTTAAGTTAAATTTCATTAGAATTCATTTCAGATTGAGATGATAAAATCCCAATACAGATTGGATGCGAATGATATGATAGACATCATTGAGCACATAAAGTTATCATATCTTATATTATATACGCTGTGTCTATATGGCCGATTACCAGTCAAGGTCTTGAAAATGCTAAATGGCCGGCAGCCCATAGAATGTGTTTTTTCCCTCTCTTATTATCTAAACGAGCTTCCAAACTCCAAAATAAAACTCTACGAGTAAAATGAGCGTGTTAAAACTTACATAAACGGCCATTAAAATGGAGTGTTAGAATTTTTTACTAGTGGCCACAAGCAAGAGAAAATTAACAGTAACAAACGAGAGCATTGGTTTTGCCTGTGATATCGATAATGTGCAAAATCTTGACTTGACACAGAGCTAAAGGAAATGACTTCAACTATGTTGAACTCTAAGTCTTGGTTGACTTAAAGCTCGCCAACAAGAGTGGTGGACAGTATCCATCAAAATTCAAAATCTCTATTTGTAATTGTTTCTGGCCTCTACATCTATAAAACGTAAAGGCAGAAAATTCATTTAACCTCCTCAAGAAAATGATCAAAGAATATTGTAAATACTTGCCATTTTGACTATTCATTTTGCTAGATCGAAATCTATTAGCATTTTATATTTTTTTGTAGCATGCTAATAGATCTATTAGAATTCTATATAAAAAAAATATAGAATGCTAATAGATCTATTTAGTATTCTATATAAAAATATAGAATACTAATAGATCAACAGTATTTGTATTCTATATTTTTTCTAACATACTAAAATATAGAATACTAATGGATCTATTTGTATTTTATATTTTTTCTAACATACTAACAGATCTCATTCTCTATTGTTATTATACATCAACCCCACCCTTTCCCTGCTCTGAATTCAAGCCCTCCCAGCGCTTTAAGTTTGTGTTGTAGTGAATACAAGGGTATAAGTCATGTGACTACAATGGCGGTCACTGAGTGTCTGCGCAACTTATGAATTTATTAATGATTATAAATATCTGGGGGGGAAAAAACACTCCTAATAAGGGTGACCTTAATCAGATATAAAGGTCCATGACCCTAGCAAAGGTTTCAGGTTTCATAACTAATCATTGACCAATGCAAGATGCCAACCAATTGCAGTAAAACAGCCATTCTTCTATTTTACTTTATGTGTATTCAATGTGGGATTACAAGAGCTTTGTAAAGTGGTTCGCGCATGATCAGTTTGCCCCATTTATCTCAAAACTTATTTTTATGGCAATTTCTCCAAAATTTTTAATGGCTTTGAGTTCCAAATTAGCATTTGAGTTTATTAAGCCGTTTAAAACACTYGAGATTGTGTTATATCAGGTATAAAGATTTGAGCCTGATAAAACACTCTATTTTGTAAAGAGAGAGCAACTAGCTATACTTAAAAGTCCAGTACAAGCAGGAATATCTTCATTCCTAGGATAGAAATCATTGGGAGTAGCCAATAAATTTACACATACATTCAGGGCTGAGCCCACAGCTTAAGTTTTTAGAATAGTCAATAGCCTCATATCATAGACAAGTATCACAAAAGCTGAGACCCATCAGGACCAATATAAAACATTACAAACCCATATGATGATGCTGCTTCATAAGATTCATTTTGCTTGGAGGAGGAAGCTGTTAAAAAAGTTATGAATATCAGTTAAGTTTCATAACAAATTATATGTAAAGCATTGTAATAGTCTTCTAATAAAAACCAAGACACAAGGCCCACGTCCCACKGCATCGTCCAATTTCGGAAATCCTAGGAATTCTCCAATCATATCTTAATTGGGCAGTATGGAATCCTATTAAGTATCTATTAATTATATTTACATATTATTCCTAGCCGTATAATCAAGAAAATAATTGGACAGGTATCTACATGTATTTTAAGATTAATAAGTGGATATACATGGGATACATATAAAAATTCCATAAACGGATATTACTGCGTACAAAATACAACAAACTTGGCGATTAAATTGGTGATGTGCAGTGTTTTATTAAAGTGAAAGTGAAAGTGAAAGTGAAATGCTGGACAACACAAGAATCGTGTTCCAATAAAAAAGATATATTTTATTCCGTTCCTATTCACATGAAGTCCTACGATTACGAACGTGAAGCCATTTTACCTCTTGTTTTAATACATGCAATTGATCTAACATAGACTCGACGAACTTTGTGTAGAACGGCCATTCATGGCATCGAGAGCATCTACAAGCTTCGTTTACTTTTAAATTCAAAAGCCTTAAAGAGGTTTTCTTTTGCTACGATTGAAGCGTACGAAGAATCATTGATATATACTTACGTGTTRTATCCATCATAAATGAATGTAAAAGAAAAACAGCTATTTCTTCGAAGAGAAAGTGTTGTACTTGTCTTGTCGGACGTTCAAAATGACAGAAAGCGCGGGAACCTTCGAACAAAATGGCACCCCGACATCCTGATTGGCTGATATAATGTTACGTAAAACTAAGCAATCACAGGAAGCCCAAGCGAAGTTGCGAYCAGAGTCAGTCAACAGAGTGTCGGCTAAACTACGACTTTACGACTGTAGATTGATACGCAAAGTTGTTGCCGTCAATGTTTAAAGTACTTTTTAATTTTACCTTGTTTAAGCATTAGCAACTTTTCGAGTAACAAACAGGTTTTTAACAATGAGAAAGAATGATGCTAAACTTGAACAGAAACAGTGTTGCGTGACATGTTTTTTTTTTTTTGCATTATTATTATCATTATTATAATGTTTATGTAAAATAACTTCAGTTCCGGTTGTCAAGTATCTACATTTTAAGGGTCGTGTGTATATTTTTTAGACTTTGATGACTTTAATATGCTTTGGTTAGAGTCAGATCTCAGTCAATGCCCAACTGATTTGGGCTAAAAGTTAATTACTATACTCCCTCGCAAACGAAATAAATTTCACTCTGTCCAACCCCAAACTCAACTTAATGATCATTATCTTATCTTTAAAGATGAACTATTAGACGTTGATGGTCCAACAACCTATGAAACACCCTAAATTGTACCAGATCCATTTTTTAAACCCTTTAAAATGCGATCATCACGCCGACTTCGATTTATTGGAGTCCCCAMCCCATCCCCAGGGTCTAATACTTGTTCAAGACGAACTCCCAGGCTTGTGGAATGTTTTGTGTTAGCGTCGATCGTTTGTGCAAAGCAGGTGCGTAGCGTGGACGTTTTGGCTAGTACGCACATGTCAGGCAACGCCGCGACACATATTTTGGATCTGGGGGTCTAACGACCGCCAAAGGCAGGAGTATTAAGGGATTATGGACCACCTCCCCCCTTTGAATTAATAACTCTTGGAAATGCGATTTCCAGCGTTTTGAGAGGCATCGAGGGCATATAAAAGGTATCAATTTTATGTGAATTTTTCAGTAATTTTCTTACAACTATACGCACGTGCGTATATGCGTAAAGGACGCTACGCGCCTGCAAAGTATTCATTCCAAGGTTCAAGYAAGTTTTTAAATCAATTTTATTATCTTCTTTCTTCACAAGAATTCCGTGCGTTTCCACAGGCTATCAATAAAGCAACATGGTTTTGAGGCTCACGTAATATAAGAGCACACTTAAATTCGATATTGGAATATTACGTTTATTCTTACAAAATGGAAGATACGTGCCTTAGTTCATGCTATCGTCATGTATGTTTCGATTGTCTTCATTTCTATTCTCATCACATTAAAATGATTGTATTTCAGTTTTTCGCGCAACGTCAGTTCCCGCCAGAGTAAATACAGAATTTGTGTTGTTTTTTTTTTAGAATTAATTTGTCCTATAACTCTAAACAAGAGTTTATCTATAACAAACTGATGTTTAGTTTTTCCAATCCAGTGTAAATTTGTGAAAGCTACCATAATTAAACATATTTTTACAGAAAATTAACTGAGAATCCAGGCAAGAGCGGACATAGCATTTAACGCAAATGAACTATTATTCCAAATTACTGTACAAAATAATAAGTTCTTGAGAAATAAATAAAGTTTTTATAGTCGATAAAGTCCGATGGTTTTAGCATCACCAAGACAMCGTTCATATCCACCACCAATGTCCTTCCACTTACACATCGCTTTATCCTTTCTCATTGCACAGTACAAATGCTGAATACCGCAATAGTGATCCATTAACCCGCCTAATGGGTCCACCCAGCTACAWAGGCTGGTCTTACATCCACAGTTCGCTTTGTAGTACTTTCTCAACCCGCTATGCTCGCTGCGGCTAAGGCTCTTCCACTCTTCTATCCAATTACATGAGAAGGTTTCRAGTTCAGCACCATCCATGTACCCACCAATGACGTACTCGGTTCCAGATTCAARTTTTGCTGCGCACTCGTTATCATCTGTGGAAATAGTCGCCTGGACAGGAAAGATGAGTTTACCCGGGAAATCCCTCAAACCAGTACTTTTCCTGACTCGTTCTTCCCCTTTGAATATCTTTAGAATTTGGATAGTGTNCTCAAACCGTAATAAAAAATTGCAAAAACCACAATTCTTGGGGAACTCCTCCAGAATTAATGGGACAGAATTACACTTAAAAAGACCCTTTTTTCAATAGAAAAATTTACAGAAAGGGTATGTTCAATGGCTGCATCCCGCTGACCGCTCATTTCAATTATTATTATACAGTTATAGATGTCTGCAAGCTGAATGGCTTCCAAATCCTGTGATGATAGGTGTATTCATCACTCGGCCATACGTCGCGATACATGATACGGTTGATATTTATAGAAACTTTTCGTGTGTTTTCAGTTGTGCGCACAAGATGTGGCCACATGATAATCCTTTACAAGCCGATTTCTTATGATTCCTAAACCATTTTCTTAGTGGAAAGCAAAGAAGAAAGACCAAATACTGATATAAATAGCCTTATCTTTCAATGGTCGGCKCAAATTGTGTTATCTCTGTCTAATGGTGCGTTTTAGTCGTTTATCTATATTTCTATCGTGTTGAACTGTCAATGAAATTTTTAGTTGCGGTACAAGCCACGTATTGTATGAAGCATTTGCCGCCTGTCTGGCGGTGCTCTGCTAAACACTTATCAGAATTTACCAAGGTCGCTTCTTTTGCGGTCAGCGACCATCCTACTGAAATATTCAAAAAAGCACAATTTAAACCTTTTTTGGCACCGCATTTTTGAGTAAATTGCTTAAAAAAGAACACTTAGGATGCCACAGCTAATTAGTTGAAGGAGAGAGACCATACCACATGCTCAAACGCCATTGGCATGCATAAAATATGATAAGAAAAACATCCAAAATTTGCTATTATGTTATCTTTTAATCTTTTGTTACTGATCTAATTGTAATCATGTCATACTTTGGATTTTTACGGTTTATTTTGGGGCTGCTGCTTCGATGCTTTATATAAAGTTCTACTTGGGACTGTTATCCGTAATGCCACTTTACTGACAATATTTCAAACGAGAAAAGAAAATCTTTTCTCACAGCAAGACTGGGTTACCCCCTTAAGGAGGATTTCCCTCTAGCAGTTCTAAAGTTATGAAAAATATGCCGAAATAAACCATGTGGTTTTACARGTTGTTCTATAATGAAACAATTGATCTTTCTTTTAACAATGGTTTAAACAGTAATTCTTCAGTAACCGCATTTGCGTCACACGTCTCTGAGCGAACCTTTGGAGTTAACCTTTTATTAAATTGCATTTTACATTGATGAAAACTAGCAGGAACCGTCAATAGATCCCACAACGTTTTCCTGACCTCTTCGAAGAAAWATAAACATAACTTCCTATATATAACTGAAACGTAAATCACGAACAATTTGAAGAGTGTATTACTTCCTTTTCGTCACTTTTCAAAACAGTCTCGCCTGCCAAGTTTGAAGGAGCGTATTTTGTCAATCAACCCTCTGTCTGAGCTTCGTTGAAACTCGAGTGCTGGTTGCTGTTCATCGTTTCAAGTGGGCTTGTTTAAGGCTGTGATTTGTTTTCTTTCAGCAGATTATTTCTGCGGCAAACCCGATCGATATGTCGACATATGTTTGAATACTTTTTGTCAATCCACCGCCAATTCAATGAGCTATTGTTCTGTGCGTGYTCAATGACAATCTATTTTAATATGTTCCTTATTTTAAGACTTAAAGTCAACTATGAGAAAACCAGGATCTAGTTTCAAACACAAACATCATCCCCTTTTAGTTTATAGCTGCTTTGATTCGATTAGGGTAAAAGATTTGTACAAAATTACACTAATTGTACGTCCCTGAGGACACTTGACGACGCGTAATTTGATTTAGCAAGTAATTCTATCAGGAAACTAAAGCAATGCAACCTCACGCGAAAATGAAAACTGTATAAAAACCAATAACAAAGACACGACTTTACAGAGACGATGCCAAGAAGTCTCCGTTTCTTACCATAATCAGAAGTACAAAATTTATCTTGTGGATGATGGTTACCAGGAGCGCATCGACAATTATGACTGGATGCCATCTCTACCACCACAAACAGAACAGCGAGAACAATAATGGCCTTCATAGTTCACAGTTAGACGTTTGTTTTACTCGCTGTTTGAGCCAAGAATGATTTGAAGAACACATTGAAAACTCTTATATATCAGTGATAGTGTGACTGTCACGCAGCTATTTATTTTTGTTTCTGTCACGCTTTCCTGTTACGAAACTAAAAACCCGAGCGAGACGGTAATTCAATCCCTGCTGATGTTAAGATGAAGACGTGAATGATATGATTTGCCTTGGATAATTTTTGTTATCTTTGCGTGCAGGAGATATATATATATATTCAATCAGCGCGTGTCTGAAAAGAAATGCAAATTTAATTGTAAATCATAGTGACAATTATTCATTCATCTTAAAGGTGGAATAAAATATAATAACGTTTTCTATTGGGTTAATTTAACACGCACTTTTTTTTTCATTTTATTTTATTTTATTTTTTACTATTATTTATTTATTTTTTCACTATTTTTGATTTTTATCATTATTTTTTCCTCTAAAACGCGTAAAGTCATATGTAGTTGGCTATTGTTTCATATATTCACGATTTTCAACGCTTTTAGTCATCACTGAACACGTGGGCAGCACGGAACTGAATTAAAGACTAATTACGGAACTAATTATTTACCACCCACTTCAGACGCAGTATTATCAAATTAATTGATATTAATTGATTATTGGAGAGACGGTCAAGTTATGCTGGCGAAATTCAATCCCGGCTTCATTACTTTACCTGTACTTCTCAATGCTTTTCGTTGTTTTTAATTGTTTTGTCTTTGTCGAGTTGATTGTTGCTGCTGTTGTTGTTGTTGTTGTTGTTGTTGTTGTTGTTGTTTTTAGTTTATTTTGTTTAATTTTTTTTTCAAATCTTTGTTAGTTGATTAGTTGATTTGTTTTTATCTTTACCTAGCGGTTTGTTATCATATTTTGTTCGTTTGTATGTTATTGTTGTGTGTCCATCAAAGTCTTTCTTTTGTAAAAATTACAATCTAAACAATCCTACTCTCCACAATGATTGAAATGCGCGGGAAATAAACCAAGCGAGTACAGATGCTCTCTTTGAWCCTACGACCCATAATAACAAGCATATAATTGTAATAGTGAACATGTGTTTCAGCCGAGACATAACTTATTGCAGCTTTGTAATTGTTCTTTTTAATTGTCAAAGTTTATCCTTGTCCTTGGGTTTTGATTACGTAAGCCATAGGAGGATATTATGTGCCACGCGTAATAGTTAATGCGGCTTTTCCTGCTCATGACTTAATGCTCTTTCAGGCTCTTCTTTTACTGGAAAAAGTCCAAGAAATGACGTACCATATCGCCAAGCAAGTTACCTGAGAGCTTCTTCATACTTCAGTGTTAGTGAATTAAAAAAAGGAAAGCCGGAATAAATGAAAGTCGTGATAGAGTACAAACATTAAATGTGTGCAACTATTTACTTTCCACTATTTAATACAAAATATAGTGTTAATTAAACAATAGAAAACAATAGAATTAGCATAATTTAGCAGTATTTAGTGGTATTTATGTTGCACAGTTTTAGTGTTTGTACTCCTCTACCGGTCTGGTGAAAAAAATTCTCGTTATCTCTTGGTTGCAACTCAGATTGTTGGTCGATTCATGAAAACTTTGGCTGGTACGGCAAAAAATAGCATCGTTACTTTTAAAGTAAAGTACAGTGTTCCAAGAAGAATAGAGTATAGTCCTCCAACACTTGAAGATAAAATACACATCTCAAAGCGCCCATTTAATTTTTATTATATAAATTCCAATGAACTAGTAGTAGCATCTTCAAAGCGAGCGTTTGTGCGAAATAACAATAGTAACGTGCAGTTATGATTTTCACAAATGAAGATTTGTATCACTTCGTCGCGCGAGAGATTACCTGGTMTTTCATTGTTGTATAATGTGATTATTTATGTATACCTAATACTTTTGTACAAACTGGGGGTCAAAGTCAACACGTGCGCGGAATTTGCTCTTCGGGTTCTGATATATTAGAAATTAGAATTTGTGTTGGTTGGTTGCTTTACAAATATAATTATGACTTATGGAGTCTTGTGGTGTGCGTACAATGTAAGGGAGAGCAAAGTGTTAACAAATCCATTGTTGGTTAAGGAGACGAAGCGCTCCTGTTCCCCACGCCAAGGTGAGTGCGTCATTGGTGACCAGTTCGCTGTCCAGATTAATGGCTAACAWGTTTAGAATTCACGTACTCACTTAACCTTGTGCACACAAGATACAAAACACTAAAACCCGCTCACGTTGTTCATGAGTAGTCGGCTTCCTTTCAGCGAGGAGAAGTATGTCTTTCTTGACCTTTTATCATTGAGAATGATAGAAAATTACATTTGTAAGTGAAGTAGTGAATGACAGTGAAGGTTGACCAGTTCGTCACACCCCAGTCATGTTGGATGAAGATAATTCGGCGTTTCACATTCATTTTCATTCATGAAAATAGTATGTGCAGCCACCTTGAATAAGAGACATTTTCTGACCGGTATTTTATCAAATCAACATTTTTGACCATTATGTGGGAGGGGGCGAGTTTACTTTACGGTCGTTCGAGGTCAGAAACGCGACGGTGACGATAATACTTCAATAGACTTCAGGCTCGCTTTTTGACAAATTGGCAAAGATTCAATTTGATGATTACCAGAATAAACCCCCAAAACGTGAAGTTACCTACTCATGTCAGCAGACTGACCTGGAGCGGCGAAAATCTGGTGCCAACGTGATTAATAACAGAAAGCAGACGTTCAGATCAAAGTTTGTGGCTAGAAATTAGGGAGAAAAAGGCATAGGGTCACTCTGCAGTGATAATTTCAATTTAATAACTGGCCCAAGCAACAGTARTCCCTCTAATGGTTCTATCTATTTAGGGATATCCATTGCTATCAATTACATAGGTATTTACTCCACGCGCAGTCTACGAATATTGTTGCGTTAGCTTTATAGGTTACAATACAAAAATGTAGTATACACAGACTGCGAGGGCACCTTATCGTTTTTCAAGAGTATTGCAGATATTTGTAAGTGTTATCTGTGGAAAATGACCCACATGGGGCACGTATTTGAATGATTTTTGTTTTAATATAAAACGCTTAAACTGCTATATGAAAGTGTTGGCTGATAGGCCAAGACCCCGAGATCGTTTTTATCTGTTCTTTGTCGATAGTTATCAATGATTTTCTCAGGAATTTATCACTAGAATGACTGCCTGTAATCAAGATTTTAGACGATAAAAGCTAAACTAACAATAAACATTTATATTTAAGCATAAGATTCGTCAAAGGTTTAACTTAATGGGATCTTTAAAGTTAATTAACTGACTAGCATGCAGCTCCAAGGGTTCTTCTTTGAGATGTCTATCAAACCACATGACGGAAATATTTTCGATGTAAGGGTATACACTGTATACCAGCCATTTGAAGAAATTCTGACCGCTAACATATGTAAGTATATCAATATACAGCCGATCATGAAAAGTTTGTCCGCAGAAAAAGTAAGTTTCCAATGTTCCAATTGACACGTGTCTGTTTCTGCACGTGGAAAATTCGGTCTAATGTCCATATAATATTTTAAAAATGTTTTTTAATTCCTCCACAAAAAACATACCTGACATTCTAGACCATTCTACACGAACAGAAACTGGATATTTTTATAAGTCGCATGGTAAGTATTAGGTGGACAACTTTTTCTGAGATATCAGCTGTATAGAGTAGCTGATATTTCAAAATTAAAAGCTTTAAATTTGTCATTTTATGTAGTTTAAAAACTACATAATATCTCTGAATAATCCTAAATATGCATAGTTTTAAAAGGCATGATTGATTTGCATTCTTATTTGCGATAAAATCTTCAGACCTAAAATCACATGAAATTACCCATGATGCACCTGACAATGATAAATGTTGTCGATCAGAATTTTTGCACAAAAATCACTGAGGAAAGAAGAAAGAACATGAGTGATCTTATTTTGTTCTTCATGTGATGAAGGTATTACCTGCGGATAACCGCGAACTCCTGTGTATTCGATTGTACTGTAGTCGATCTTTGAAGGCTCTCTATACAAAATACTCATATACCATATTTATAATACCAGCGTTGGAGCATGCTGATAACTAAAAGCCGCTGTACGTGAATTGCATGCGGGCGTATATATCTCATGAGGACCTCAATTGTAATGTTTTTCTGTTTTTAGCAGTTTTCAAGTTGCCAGTTGTAAATTGTAACTGCATGATTTTGTATATTGGATATGGAGCGAAATCATTTGATTATGAAATAGTTCTTATWTGAACAACCCGGCAGAAGCAGCTAGATGATTTTTTGCCTAAACTGAAAATGTCCCCAGCACCATTAACGCCGAATTAACCGTCACAATGCAACTAACCTAAAATTATCGCATACATAATTCTACAACTGTTGTAGGGCTATTAATAAACAATTAAATCTTTTCGAAAGTTGTAGCCATGTTGTGAAGACGACTAGGCAAGTTCCATGGTAGTAGGGAAAAGCTGTGCTTTCTAATTCGGGCTTACATCTATTCTATTGCAAACGCATGCATTCTTTTAATGATATGAGAAGCGATGCAATTCACAAAGCATGWTGGGATATGTACTCCTGGTACGTATGAATGTGCTGTATAATGTGTTCTAATTTTTAAGGGTTTTATTCGCGCAGAAACAGCTAAAATTTCTTCGACTCTTAAATCAGTGAAGGACTAAATTTCCCGTYATGCTTTGCTTTAGAAAATGGCGTCGCTTAACTTCCTAGTGATGTGTTTATTGTTYACTTTGAAGCTTCAAAATCCCTGAAGTAAAAACCAAAAAGTCTCATAAACACACATCGATTATAAGGGACATGGTTTCTCGTGACATACTTCCATTGACAAGAYAGCCCTTTTTTACCACAAAAAAGATGTTTTTGGCTACAATGCCTGTCCAACAGTTCGCCTTGAGGGTCCAATGAGCTGCAAGAACGACATTGACAATTCCTCTTGTAAACCCTTCGGAAACCTAGYTTYTGCGATTTGCTCAAAGACCGCCAGGGACGAGCGAAGTTGCATGATGATATGAACAATTTCCCTTCGTCAATGTAGGCACCGATTGCATAGGTAGTCTTGGATGATAGGTTCACTGTACAGGTATTTGGATCGGTGTGAATCTTTACACTCAAAGATGAATGAGAACGTTCTCCTTCGCCTTTTTTTAACGTCCGTTCATCATCAAGATCACTCTTTCCTCTTCCTTTTAAGACTTCTTCGACTCTGAACTCATAGCTTAAGACTGTCCTGTCCGTCGCCCAAATTCTGAAAGAGCCTTCAGGCTGCTTTGGTTCTGGTAAAGTTTCATCTTTCGGCCCAGCTATTAGCCTGCCACGGAAAACTGTTAAAGTGAAAACAAGGAAATTTTTAAGAATAAATGACATGTACTGCATTCCTTGAACATACATTTGTTGTTGTTGTTGTTGTTGTTGTTGTGCTTCCTTCTTGTTTACTTGATTGCTTCCATTTTTGTTGATTGCCTTGTTTTTGTGCAGCTAAATTTGTCTCAAATATTCTGGTTGCAATTTCAGCCACAAAAGGCCGGAGCAGTGAATCTGACAGGCAAACCACCAAAATTTGACTGACACAACTGCATAATTTGTGTTTTCAGGGAAATCCTGTTTTCTCTTCAAAAGACATAATTCTGTACCTTTAAACTATTATTCGTGTCTTGCACCGGATTACATAATTGTAAAATAGATTTGTCCTCAGTATTTTATAGACGTTTCGTCAAAGACCTTAGACTGAAGGTCGAAAGCTCACTCATAAAAACTCAAARAGCATTTCCTTATCAATGATGATTAACCTTGGTTTAGTTGTTACTCCTCTATTTTCAAATTGCGAAAAATGTAAAAAATCTGTGTACTTGTAAAATTAACAGATTATCTCACTTAATGGCTGGGAGAAAACGTATTTTGTGCCCTATGCGCGTCAAAGATGAACTTGAAGAAAGATGAACTTACAAATATTTTACATAATCATGTCAGCAGTTTAATCTCGACCTTGTCTCTCCCGGTCAGATTCGACAATAGGAGTCTAGGGGTCTAAATAATCTGACTGATAAATGTTATTTTGTAGTTCATCAACATAGAAACGAAACAGAGAAAGGATGCATTTTGTGTAATTAAAGCAGTTATAATTCTTGGCTGAATTTTAAAGCTTGTTCAAGAATAGATGTCACCCATGAATAGCTCAAATCATGTTCGTGAGACTTGGCCTAACTTGATATTCATCACTGCATACTCTTCRTYTCTGCGGTTTACCACAAGCTGCGCACGCGTTAAAAATTTAATCCCACTTCTCAYGGTAACATACAGTGTGGCCAATGATCTTCTTGGGTTAAGATTAGGAAAATAATTCTTTTCACCTCGTGGGTATATACRCCAAATCAATACTCAATCCYCTGAAGTATTTGTAATACGATAAGACAATAAAGGCATAAATCCTTTCCCAAAACTTGATGAAAATCTTAAAAATCTGYTTTAACTGGAACAAGTCCATGAAACTAAGGAGGAACAACTTGGAGAACACTTAATAAACTAAGGAAAAAATAACCAAACAAATMAAATCAACATGATTAAGTAGGCAATGTTTTTTCAGTAAACTTTCGCCAAGTAATTATAAAAGCTATTTTCCTGTTTATGTCTGCATACCGCAATGAAGCGTAAGAAAAAGACATTGTTTTCAAGGAAGATCATATAATTCAAAAGTAAATATCCATGTTGAAAATTGACTTACAAAAATCTGATCTGCAGAAGAGCTGYTGAGGATGTCTTGCAGAGCTGCACTTGCATTTTCTTTCTGCTTCGACAAAAGACGCCAAGGCAACAAGCAAAACTGCAAGTACTTTCATTATCTGAGCTTGCTTTTCTGGCTATTTGTCGAATCCCTTGATCACTAGACGCTGCTTTTGTGAGCACTCGTCCAACTAGATGTGATGTAAGTCGGGTTTATGCCGTTTATAATTGTTTCATGCKATGAAACATGCGGTGACGATAGCTATATCTCTCTACATGAGAGGCGATTGATATCGATAGCTTGATGATGGGGTAATATAACTACGTACAAAAACACTACTTGTATTACGATCGATCATTACGAAAGGATTATGATTATACAAGRGAAATCCTAAAGAATAAGTTTAGTGAAGGTCCCCAGGTCATATTCTGTCATGACGCAACTCAGAGTACGATTCAAGCTATAGTGTATTAGATACTGCAAAAGTACTGTAGCCCCGGGCAGTGTGGGATTCAGAACGCTACAAATATGGGTGGCCTACTCAAGAAGGAAATCAACAGAGGGAGAAATTTAGGGCTGCGAAGATTCTTTCATATGAACGTTGCTTTAGTGTTTTTTTTTTTTTTTTTGTAGAATGAGTCACATTCAGTCTTTTATTGGAAAAACCATCCTTGTGATGGAAATGCAACACACACTCACCTCTCTGTCAACGATTCAATTCCCTAAATTCCACTTCAATTTCATTTTCCCGTTGCCGCAATATCCATTTCTGAGTGGCCCAGAATTACCTTTTGATAAAACTTTAATTGAGAGTTTGGGTTTATTTTTGTTTACGAGGTTTTTGATAAGAGAGTCTGCTGCCAGCGATCACAACAAACACCGATCATCCACTTTGAACTGGAAAGATGAATATTAAGATCATGTTTCCGATTACTCTAAATTGGTTAAAAATAAAGTTTGTTTATATAGTTTGTCTTAAACGCCTAAGGTGACACTGATATTGATACAATAAAATAGATATACTACCTCCGACAAAAGGGATATATACCATATGATGACCTCAATACGGAGTTTCAGAGAAAAATGCGTCCGCCATCTTGAAAAGTGAGACCCGAATCACTATGTTGTGCCTTAGAACACATTTCGTAGTTGCTAAGTCAACAAATCTATCGTTATATCGTTATATCGTGTTTTATTTTTATTTTCTTGACATTTTAAAATTAGAACCTTTTAATTTCTTTAGGAGTTATAATTTATTGATTAGAGTCCCACTTTTCAAGATGGCGGACGAAGTTGTACAGCTCCCCATGAATTGTTGACCGAAGTCAGAAATTTTACAGAATTTTAAGSTTTCATTTCTGTTTTGAAAAATCAGTCCTTATTTAATGAAAAAATTATTAATTTTTAGGATATGGAAKTGAATCTACATTTTTCACTTACAGTTATTTGCAAAAAGTTTGACCGCCAAAATATATCATCACATAAGGTGCATCATGGGTAATTTTATGCAATTTTCCGCTGTTTTCTCGCCAAAAGAGACTGCAAATTATTCGAATACTTTGAAAGTATATTTATTAAAGATTATTCAAGGATAATCTGTAGTTGAATGAGAAATTGAAAGGGTTTAAATTTGAAATATTAACAACCTATATATTGATATTTATGTACGTTTAATAGTGGTTAGAATTTCTTCAATTGACTATAGACACTRTATGTAAACTGCATATATACATCTGTTTTATAAAAAATCTGATTCAGTCAGCACATCTTACACTAAGTATACCACATGTTCTATCTCTATCGACGTATAAAATGTTCATAARCGTAAGTATAACCTTTGCCTCTAGTTTATTTAGGTTGTGTGGTTAGTTTTTTTCATCACCGTAGTTTAATTAGAAAGAGACGTAGTTCACAAGTAGTATGGCTTTTGTTTTATCGCTTTTCAACTATTATATGAMTGCGCGAAACTTCAGCAAGGTTGTCTTTCTACTCGTCATTGTCATCTCCTATCATTTCTYTATTTAAATACAAACAAATCAAGTCTAGATTTTCCCCTTACAAGAGAGTTGGATTACATTACTTACTACATGACTACTACATGACTGTAGGCACTTCCAAAGTCTAGTCGAAGTCTGACAACTTAACCTTCGTTGTACWTTGAAACGATCTAACAGAGGAATCGATTTGCGGCCTTGACATTTCATATGATAACACATTTTTCCATATTCCTCTATATTTCTAACTTTTCTAAGCATTGCGTGGCTGTAGAGGAATTACTATAAAATGCTGACAAAAATTGTCACCGTCGTTTTAAGTGCCACCTAATCCATAACTAGAAGCATGATCGGGATCCACCCACATTATTGTAAACAAGTGAAGTACACACTTATAAGCGAAACARAACACCAAATTGTCATTAAGTATAAAATAAAAGTAAAGTCGTCGTTTTCATTTAACCATGCAATGGAAATAAAACTATGGCTATTTAGTTAGAAAAAAAGACAAAAGAAAACTGAATTCAGAGTATGGTACCAACTATTAGTCCCACTAATCTTTCGCGTCAATTTACGATTGAATCTTTGAAACGACTCTATCAGTAGCTGTTCTGGAAAATACCAAACTGCATTCTCTCACGCTTAAGTACATGCACTTATTAAAGGGCGAAAGGGGTGCAACTCTACACTTTGTGTATCTTTCAATATGATGAAATGACATCAAGTGGCCTTGCTACGAGACAAGTAAGCTATTTAGGCTGGGTTTGTTTGCTTATAAGRCCACGGTTTTCACTCTCTTGTGCGTTTTCAAAGCGTTTTGGTAATGCTCCTTTTTAAGATATTCATTACAGTGCTGCTTTTTCGTAGCGTTCTGGTAATGTTCTAATATAAGACCTTAATGACACAGCTGCGTTTTCGWAAGTTTTACGAAGCCGCTTAGGTCGGTAGGTTGAAGTCATGCATGAATTTACGACCGTTGATAAAAAGTAAAGATGAAGTTCAATTCTCAATAGGCGATTTGCATTAAGCGATCACGTGATAAAATCCGCCATTTTGGCTGGTCGCGCGACAATTTTTGGCACGACAGGAATGTAAACAAAGATGGCGGAGCCGACTAAGTTTTGACATCAAATCAAAGGTGAGTTTTAGTTCTTTATACGCCATCCTTGTTTACATTCCTGTCGTGCCAAAAATTGTCTCACGACCAGCCAAAATGGCGGATTTGATCACGTGATCGCTTAATGCAAATCGCCTATTCCGTCATCAAATACCAACTGTTAACAAGACTCTAGAAAGCAGAAGATTGCATTTGAAAAAAGAAGGAAYCACACATTAACTCCCGCTCTTCCCTTCCCTTCTCAAAAGCACCGGCAACGCACTACTTTTATTTCCTTCCTCGGGCTTCCTTTGTAACGGCGCTAAGTAAGGACTGAGAACAAGACAATAAGGAAACCCGCAAACAAAAAAAATTACAATGGGAAAGAGGTAAATGCACCCACTGCCCAGTATCATAATTTTCTTGCGAGCTCAGTTAATCTTGAAAAAAATAGCCAAGTGTAATCTTTTAATTTTTAATTCCATATGCACTTGAAAATGTATGATTTATTTTATATTGATTACATCACTACAACTAGATTGATTGTGTCGACTCCATTCACTCGTGAAATGATCAGTACTAATTCCTTTTTAATCTATTCCATTGTCTTCTTACTTCTTATTTTAGCCGCGGCCATTCTTTGCCGCTTCTTTAAGCAACGTACCAAAACCTAAACCGAAGACATTWTCAATGATTTTTAATATCATTCCAGGTAGGTCTTCATCGCAACGCGAGGTTGCTGGGTTCCCCTGTTTATCCGACCATACCCCTTCCTTACAGTAAACCGTATCAGCACCGACCAGTTTAAATCCAAACAAGCACTCCACCTTACAACTATCTCCTTCAAATTGTCCTGCTAAACAYTTTGATTTGGCGTTGGGTACGGGATAGGCATTATTGCAACGTCTTTTGCATTGTAGCATATTAGTGCAGTCTGTAAAGGCGTAGGTCTCATGKGTACACCGATTGCTGAAACAAATGACGATAAAATCAGATTGTTGTTGCTCAGATATGGAAATGTGATTTGCTTCTAGACTTTGCGCAGTGTATAATACGATCTAAAGCCGGATTTCTCAGAAATCGTGTATTTGCGCACTTATGAATGGGTTATGACTGGACAAATGCTGTCATCGCTATCTCTTCACATTGTATTATTCTGTGAACAATATCTGGGATCTCTCTGAATGTGTCGTACATARGCTGTGCATTTCACAGTCATGCGATGTCTTCTCTAAGTATTTGGACATTTTTGCGCTCATTTCAAAAAAGGAATTTCAATTCCGAACTTTGCATTCACTAGAAACATTCCCGAAACTTTGTCAAGCATTGTTGTTGCCAAAATATGACTAGAGCATATAAAGCTGTTGTATACTTACATATCAGTAGTGCCTGAGTCACAACCTAACACATGRGTTGTTGGGCCATTGGGGATCTGGGCGATTCCTGGGTTTTTAAAAGCCAATCCAAGGTCTCCACACATTTGACTATACAGCTGACGATTGTACGTCTCCTGCTTGTTTCCAATGTTATTCGGCAATATGCACGTTGGTGTCCATTTTTGGTGTCTCAGAACTTCGAGTTTTCCCTCAAATTTTGTGATTATTTTGACAAAACGAATCAATGAACATGATATCTTCAGACTGCTTCCCTGTGGAAAAACCATTACTTTCTCTTGATATTCATCAATGCCCAATGCGTTTGAGCAAGCTAGTTTATGTAGCTTGGAGTCACGGCTTAAGCTATTTTTCCATTTGTTGGTGGAATCATCCCATTCCTGAAAAGTACCCTTGACTTCGTGCCAAGTGGCTACGACTTGATGGAGCCTTGCTGCGGGTAAACAAGCAAGCTCCCCAAAACCTTTCCATTTTCCAGCGCTGCAGAACCATTGATTTTTTATATTCTCTTCTGCAATTTTTCTAAAGACTCCAAATTTCTTTGCAAAGTCACTGACCTTATATTCTTCAACGTAACTTTCAGAACAAGTCAGTTTAACACAAAACCCATGCTTAGCTTGTTCCATTGTTCCATACTTTTCACTTTGGTCTGGGCACTTGTTTAAGCGTCCGTGATTTACACTCGGTAACTGAAGACAGTTTACTCTTTGACATTTTGGGTCATCGCCTGTCCATTTTCCACTGTCTTCGCAGTATCKCTGTTGGGATCCAATMAGCTCAAACCCTTTATGACAAACATAACTTGCAACTCCACCTTCTCCTGTGTTTGCCACWKTCAAGTTTCCATCGCTTGGRCTACTGAGGCTGGGGCACGTCGACATWGGTACACAGATTGCYGGGAGCTTTGGTCGCCATTTTCCATCTACACACTTTTCTTGGAAAGTTGATATCTGAGTTAKATTAAACTTATAACCCTGAGCACATATCACATYGGCTTTTGCACCATGGGAGTACGATCCAGAAGGTTTATARGTTATTTGGGAATTTGGGGCATTTATGGCTTGGCAAGCCTTTTGTTTACCATAGTATGTTATTGAATGGGATGAAGCAACTGTAACGGAGCAATGGTCCAAGAATATTCCGAATATATAATGCCTGTCTTTCTTTATATATGGTATAACCAACTGGCCTTTCTTGTAAGTGTCYCCTACAATTTCCATTCTTTTGACATTCGTAGGATTTTCTGCATCGACTTGGAATACGGTGATCTTGGTTTTTTCATCTAGAGGCGACGATGAAATAGAGCTCCATGACAAAACTGTCTTCTTATTTGGGTCTTGTGTAGTCAGAGCGAGCTTTACGTCAGTTTCCACACGATTTGCAATAGATWCCAATTGTTTAAACTGGTGTCTTACGTCTGCCAATGAGCGACTTCTCCAGAACCTATCCTTGAATAATATATGCAAGTGCCTGTAATGGTGATTTTTCGCCCAATTCTGCACAATTATGGTCAACTTAGAGCTCTGAGAGAGAACTGCATTTAGTGAAGACCTTTCTAACTGCACATACAAGTCKTTGCCGACCAAAAAGACACAAGCATCTTTGGAATCAAAGTTCGACAATGAAATAGTGTCTTTATCTTTACCTTTGGCGTAGTTGTCAATCAGTTTGACACCAGAAGCACTTTCTAAGATGTACCGGTCRCTTCCTTCTCCTCCAACGAGTTTATCGTGACCACCTTTTGCAATAATGSTATCGTTTCCATAACGACCATACAGATTGTTGTTACTGTTGGAACCAATGATGGTGTCGTTGTGGATTGTCCCATACACATGTTCAATACCTTTGTAGGTGTCTCCYTCAGCATCTGCACCTTTACCAAATCCTGCTGACARATCAATGTAGACTCCTTCCTTCCYATAACCATCCCCCTTAAAAGCCACGGCGTCCCCTCCAGCTCCACCATCAATATCGTCTTTTCCATCTCCACCATATATGTAATCGTTTCCGTTTCCCCCTCTGATGACGTCATCTCCATCACCTCCAAATAGTATGTCATCKCCGTCTTCCCCAATTAGRKTATCGTYTCCAGATTTTCCATCTATRACGTTATTGCTTGGTCCACCAGAAATGTCATCTCCCAACGAYCCACCATCGATTTCTTTYGACACCGACGTCCCTGTTATGACATTTTTATAGTTTTGAGCACCCAATACRGTTTGYGCTCTTGAWTTACGAATTGTTTGAGGAGAATCTGAAASAGTTAGATCCAACGAGATGATCTTCATRAAAGGCTGCTTGTTTTGGATTTCGAAAATGACTTTGTCGCTTGTTATGAYTTGRAGGTGTTGATAATCATGGCTCTTGAARTAATCTTYGATTCTGACTGCTAAAGAACTCGGCCTTGATTTTGAGGCTAAAACAACATCGTACTCTCCGTAGAAGGAGAAGGCGATGTCGTTGAGCTCCAATCCAAGTTTTAATACATCYGTTTTATTATCTTTGGMAAAGTTGTTTATAATRTTAAACTGACCGTAGCCGTGCTTCAARACGTACGTATCCGCTCCACGTCTGCCTTTGAGATGYTGAAAATTATACCCGTTTCCTGAGCCTGGATCGATATAGTTGTTGAGRTGATTRCCCTTGATGTGATAGCTGCAATAGCTTGAATTAAGTTGAAAACGAGTAACTTTTTTCCAAGGATCTTTGTTCAAATCATATCTTATCAAAGTTCTTTTGCAATCAGTTGCTTTGCATTGACATTCCACTGGGTCTTTAGAGATTTCTACGGGCTCTAGTTTTTCATCTTGACCATTGATGTTCAAAGTAACACCATCCTTAGTTCGTACCCAAAGGTGTCTCCAATTAGAGGTATGATACCAGTARCCCAAAACCACTTTCGTACGAACAAYATCGTATTTTATTATCAGGTCAAAGCCTTGCCTACTGACACTTAGTTCAGGGAAGTTGTAGTCMAGAAGTAGAAGATCAACTTTTTCTTTTGGATCGAAGTTATATATCGTTGCCAGTTTGCACGATTTTTTTACYACATAGTTGTCACTTCCTCCGCCGCCATAGAGAACATCTGAMCCACCTGTACAACTGAGAAAATTTGATTGCTTGTTCCCTCTTATYGCATCATCATACTTTGAATCTGAAACTGTTGCAACTTGATCAAACCCTTTGTTATTGATAAAGCCTTTGTATGGTTTGTCTGTCAGGTCAACTTTAACACCCTTGGTTGACGAGGAATAATCTAACACCATGGGAAACTTCTTCTGTTCATTATTATTATCTTTTTGGATTTTGAACACGACATGATCCGATGAGGTAAATATCATGTGTCGATACCTCTCATGAACYAGCCAGTTTTGAACRAGAAAACACGATCCTTGCGTTGCTTTTGTTCTCTTGTCATTCACAAGAAGATCATTATTTGAGGTTTCTATCGCAATGTGCTCATATGGAACTTCAAAAATGAGYACATCTGTGGTGTTCTTGTAGTCGTCYGCATCATTATTGATAGTATCACATCCTTCATGTTCTCKAATGATATACGTGTCCTCACTTCGACCGCCACTCAAAWAATCCTTGCCYTTTCCWCCGTCTAATATATTGTTTAAGTCATTTCCATGAATAGCATCAGTAAAATTTGTTCCAACGACTTGCCTGACCTCTGAAAACTCTTTTKTGTYGATACGAATAKTTTCACCAGCTTTTTGAGATCCTTTTGATATTGCTATGGCTTTACATTTCACGSTAGAACCAASATCTTTAGCTACAAAAACAATCCCGTCAATACTCTTRAACGAAATGTGCCTRTAGTARTTAGGGCTTCCTGSCACAAACCAGTTGGTTATTCGAATATGATGGGTGTTTTTGTACAGAATRTCCAGATCGAYRTTGTTTTTAGTGCARGTTATATCTTTATACGGCACATTAATGATTACGATGTCTCGTTTGTTGTCCTCTGAGAAGTTGTCTATGATTGTATTACCACCATACGACTGAACGATGTAAACATCACTTCCTTGCCCCCCAGTGACATGTGACGTCTGTGGKCCAAGGTAGAATAAGTCATTTCCGCCCTTACCRTACAAGTTGTAGTGATAGTGACCAGTAACAAATTTGATATTGATCTTRCCATAATCGTTSGRAKGTTGRTCGTTTTTCTGTTTCTTCTTTTGGTTTTGTACAGCATAAAACTTATTGTCTTCGCTATTCCCATAGTAAATACCATTKAGGGAAGAAGATTTGAGGTTTGCCTTGTCAATAACCTTGTAATGCTTAACTGGGATAAACATCCACAGCTTCGCCGTCTTCTTTTTATACAAAAATTCKCGYGATTCGCCRATCCCAAGAACAATATCAGTGACATTCTCACCCACATARAAYCTTTCTGCCTTTACYGTTTCGTGYTTTCCAGTGACATCACCAACTTCCAGATGCACGTATCCCTTCCATTTKCCATCAAGCATCCTAAAATTGATAAATCCGCCAAAACTGGAAAGTTTGCCCTGAGTGAAGTCGATGGTTTCTTTTCCATTGACGTTTCCTTTGATCTTGAAATAGCTCGTTGCATCTTTCAARGATGTAAGCAACTTTTTGTCAGCTTTTTCCTGCTTAGAATAGGTTTCCATTTGCCTTCTCAAACCACCACTYAAGAAATCAGCAGCGCCCTCGATTATTCCTTTAAATAAAGCTCCAATGAATTCAAATCCTGCCCAAGGACTGTTCCAATTYACYTTGTCCATTTCTTCCATKATGTCTATGTAAAAATCATCAATAGCCATGCGAACGATGGATAGGACTATGATCAAYGGCTCTGTTATCACTTCTGCTTCTGGGCAGAATGTTCCTATCAGATTCAGYACAGTTGTATCCACATCTAGAACAAGGTCAACAACACGTAATGGCAGCATCTTGACATCTTCAGGATTATTGAGATCAAGATGTGCTAATGCTTCAACGTCTTGTTCAATGAAGTATATATCAAAGGCCAGTCCAACGCCTGGTAGATCGCCCATGAGTTTTCCTACTCCYTTTTCCATGTATTTCTCGACTTTAGCGGAAAATGTTTCTAGACCCTTTTCCATATTTAAACCTTTAGCGATCTTAAATGCTGCATGACGTAATACCTGTTTTGTAGCTTTAGATGCAATCTCGTTTAGACCAGTAAGTCCACCAAGGGTGTGGAGACTTTGGGATACAGCAATGCCTCCTCGAACGTCATCACCTCTTTTGAAGTAATCAATTGCTCCAATAGCTGAGAAAATCAATCCATGAACTGCTAGACCTCTGTTGATCTTTGCAAAYCGTGGGCTAACATCGGCTCTTTTTGAATTTTCRACTCTTTCTTCAACTAACTTTGGTGTTGCAAGTTCATCTGGRGTGATCTCWATTTCCACAGTTTTTCGCTTGTTTGCGTCACGACGATCAACGATGTCAAGAACRACCTTTTTGTCCTCAACTTTAATTGATTTGTCATCGACTATCATTTTGCTATCTATATCTTCTAAAGAACATGCACTTCTCTTCTTTCTTTGACCCGATCCTGTGCAGAATTTGCGAACTCTTTTGGCAATGGTTTCTCCGTCGTGATCACTAGCGGCCCGTTTTCCAAGAACAATCTTGGGGATTTCAGCGTCTCCCTGTTSATTAGTAAATMTTCTTCCTTCTCTTGTTCCTCCATCTCTTTGTCTGTGAGGATAACGAAGGTTTGTGATTACTTGATCAAAGTTCAACCCACCATTACTGTTGTATATCTCCCATAGCAARTCTAACATCACTTTTTCTGCTGTAGGACTCCGACCYGCCTTGACGGCATGATGGTCGTCACCAAATAGYCGTGGTCCAAGATGCTCAAGGTTTGGSATCTCTGTAGCATCAGGAAACCTWCCCTGGGTTTCGATGACTGTTGCAAGTTGTTCCTGAAACTGACTTTTCGCGGATTCAGGTAAAGCAGCTGCCTCCGCRACCATAGTTGTGAGTAAAAACTCMACAGTAATTCGTATTGTGTCTARAGTACCKGTTTGGTCATTTGGTATTTGCAGTTCTGTACTAAAATCTGGTTGGTCATCAAGCTTATTATGTATCGCCTTTAGCATGGTACCGGCAAGCAAACTTGGATCGTGAAACTGACTAAGTACACCTTCAACCATRTGATTGTAATTGATGGAAGTGAATGTRYCTSKTGTGYTCGCCTGTGGTGTGGTTCCAGGCCAGTGAMGATCCTTGGATTCAAGAAAGATTTGAGCTWTTCCTTKGGGTGCCTTAGAAATGTAAATCAATCTTTCCTSYCCGCCAATAGGAATCCTYAATTCTACTTTTTGTTTCCCTTCTAAGGGGTACAACTGGTTATAATGCTGAAGTAATCCAAACGTYTCGAACAAAGTCAAAGGAGCAGTGTCCTTTATGAGGATTTCTCTCAATTGGTTTGATCTGAAAGTTTCCKTTATGTGTCCCTTRCTTTTCATTTCTTCCCATGTTTGAWGAGCCTCTTCAGTTGTTCTKCTGATACTTTCTGTAAGCTCATATTTAAGTTTGGTTCTCTCAAGTCTCTCAATTTCCTTTGACAATGTTTGCTCATAATCGTTTCTCTGTTGTTCTATCTTTTCGTTTGCTTCTTCGATCCAGGTATTTGGGTTATTTCCCAATATCAATGCAGATGCCACAGCTTCCATTGACTGTCTGAATGCCTTGTTTTTTACATCATCCGATATTTGARGAGCCGTACCCTTTTTTCTTGTTGTTTCTGCGATTTTAGAATTTAMCATRCTATCAAAAACTCCTKTTTGATCAAGACCCTGCTGAAAAATGTCRAGTAAGGTTGATCTAAGAGATTTGTGTATTTCTTTTTTAGTTYGTRCATTYTCRCCGATTAGCTCTTGAACACTTCCTATGACATTCGAGAGGTCAGTCTCTAGCATTGTATTTCCCGTGGGATCTGAWGGATCAGGATATAGATACTTTGCCTTGAATTTACCACTCCCCGTCGAAGGTTCTAATTTGAGTGTTATCGTTCTTCCATCAGTAGGTATTTCGTACASCACCGTTCCCTTTTCAAGTATTGGAAAGTGCTCCAAGTARGAGAATACTTCCATTAATGTCAAGTCGGCAGTTTTGGCGAACTTGATTTTCTTCAGAGYTGAATCACCACTCTCAGTGAACAACTTGTTTTTTCTTAATTTTTTCCATTTCTTTTTCACRTCTGTTGAAAGTATCGTYACATCTGGATTGTCCACTCTAKCATTAAGCTGTTGATCAAGCTTATCTGTCATTGTCTCGAACTTGTTATCTAAACGCTTGATCCACTGCGGCGTGTTTGCTCTAACAAGATCTTGTCCGGAAAGGTAGCTGGATGTAAGAACCTCCAAYGTTTCTCGAAATGCTTTGTCTCTCAAATCGTCTGGCAACCGCACTAGCACAGGTGCCGGTAATCCTYKCTTWTTTGCTCTAATCACCGCATTGTCATGTTCTTGTTGAGTATAGAATTCCAAACATGTATCGAGTCTGTTTTTCAAAGACATTTTTCTCTCAAAAATCCTAGGAAATGATTCAAAAAGGGACTGTCTCAATTGGTCGTTCACTATTGTATCCGTGTCAAGTGCTTGAACAATAGGCTGTATTTGAGAGAGGTCAGTACTCAAATAATTTCTTTGTGCGGGGGGTCGCTGGTCGTTTGGATCAGGRTAAAACATCTTCGCAGTAAAACCCCCCGTACCGTCTGGTTTTAGCCGTAGTTTGTACTTTCCTTTACCATCGACTTCAAAATAATACTTAACCGGTCCAGTTTCAACAAGTGGAAAATATTTCAAAATATGGAATACCTCCTTTAATCGAACTTTCGCGGACTGGTCGAATTCTACACGTTTCAATCCACCGGCTGTTGATTCTGTAAAGTAGTTTTTCCCTTTCCACTCGTCCCACTTCTTTTGAACTTCATTCYTTTTTTTGAGCTCACGACTACTTTCCTTCATTTTGGTGGTTATTTCCCCGATCCAGCTCTGTGATTTCTTTCGCAAAACAGAGGAAGAAAACAACACCTCCATTGCTTTCCTAAGCGCTGTTGTTTTGATWTTATCAGAGATAGTGGGTGTCTGTCCAGTGCTTGTTGTAGTTTTGTCTACTTCAGATGCCAAAGTGCTTTCRAAGATGTTTTTCTTGTCAAGCGTTGATTCAAATATTTCAGGCAATGAAGTYTCAAGAGCTTTCYTTAGCTCAGGACTCAACCTATYATCTGCGAGTCCGAGGATGTTGGATTTCACTTCTGAAAGGTCGGTTTCCAAACTCTGGCCATTTTGATCTTGGTAGAGATAATTTGCTGTAAACCTTCCGTTTCCATCAGGTTTCAATTTTAGCKTAACCTCTTGTCCRTCGACTGGAATTKTATACTCSACCTCSCCTGTTTCAAGGAGTGGAAAGTATTGGAGATAATGGAATACCTCATTGAGAGTTATGCCAGAACTTGCTTTGAATTCCACCTTTTTGGGGTAAYTGTTACCGCTTTGAGTGTAAATATTTGGTGTGAGAGCTGCCCATTTCTGTCTTATATGATCGCCTAAAACTGCTACGTCTAGATATTTTCCGATAGTTTTTTCATTTGTATCACCAAGCGTAGGCTGATCCGAGTTTATCGGATTAATGTCAGGCAAATAGTGGAARTGCGACCAGSCTTTCACGTTRCTGACWGAAAACAGCAAGAAGAGGAGAACGATCGAGAAATGATGTTTCTTTCTCTGAAAAGTCTCTCGCTCCATATTTCCTGCCAAATTGATTAACAAATCTTTAGCTTTAAAGTATTAGTTGCACCCAACTAAAGAAAGATATATATTTATATATAATACAAACGAAATGACAATGGTAATAGCAAAGCACAAAGTCCCATATATGTGAGAGCAACGTAGGCTCACCAATGGTATTTCCGATATATTAACTGAACACGGTTGTTTAGACTCCTCGCAGCCGTTTCCGGTGTCATCTAGACATAGTCTTGTTTATAAATTCAAAAAAAAATCAAAATCTAGTTACACCGGCTTTTTGAAGGTTCGGTTTCCACATTCTTTTGTTTCCGGCAATAAGCCAATCACTTTCAACATCTCGAAAACAGAAGCCTTGTGCTGATTGGTTGATCTAAAAGAACTTACTTTACCACCCGTGTCATGCAGCCGTTTSTATTGAGACAAGGGGTATAAAGTAGAGGACAGCGGAAAAAAGGTTGTATGAGGAGTCTAAAGGCCTGTTTTAAACTGGCGATTTTTGCGGCGATTTTTGCAGTGAGTTTTGTGTTCATTTTGATCCTAGAGAATAACGCTAAAGAATTAACTTTTATTCAGTACACTAAGATGAGATAACTAAACGTCTCCTCAGAGGGATAAGACAAAATCTATTATATTTTTGAAAATCGCCAAAAAAAAAAAAATTGCAGCAAAAATCACCGTAAAAATCGCCAGTTTAAACGRGCCTTAACGGTTGTATACGCGGGAATCAATTTGTTTTTCTGCCGTCATTCCTTATATTGTTTCAGTCTTTGTGCAACATTTCCTTTTTATCTACTATCTGTACTTTTATAGTTTCATAGTGAACAAAAAACACAGTCATAAATAATGATGCGAAAAGAAATGATAATAAAGGTATATCATAGTCTGCTAATAACTAAAAAAAAATCGAGCAGGTGCGATGATGATGACGAAAATTTGTGTAACCACAATGACGAACAAAAGAACGCTCAAATCAAAATTAGTAAATATGTCAAGTTTGACAGCAAACGGACATTCCATGTTATTCGATTTGACTTATTATAATGACCTATAAATTCAGCACACATCAATAAAATGGCTTACCTTGGAGCTAAGTGGCCGGACTATGCGCGCTTTGATTATCGGACTTTATCGGGATTATTCAGTTCTGTGGACGAAAAATATTTTTGTCAGAAGTACGCCTTGAAAAAAGGATGTATCCGCTATAAAAAGTTTATGCTTGATAAAACAAATTAACTTTTTGCTCTTTGCTGTATAAAAAATCAAAAACAAACAAACAAACAAAATATTGCCTACATATCCACTCATGTCATCGCGAGCCTTTTTTTCGTTCAAGACTTTAAATNAAATTGCAGCAAAAATCACCGTAAAAATCGCCAGTTTAAACGAGCCTTAACGGTTGTATACGCGGGAATCAATTTGTTTTTCTGCCCTCATTCCCTCTATTGTTTCAGTCCTTGTGCAACATTTCCTTTTTATCTACTATCTGTACTTTTATAGTTTCATAGTGAACAAAAAACACAGTCATAAATAATGATGCGAAAAGAAATGATAATAAAGGTATATCATAGTCTGCTAATAACTAAAAAAAAATCGAGCAGGTGCGATGATGATGACGAAAATTTGTGTAACCACAATGACGAACAAAAGAACGCTCAAATCAAAATTAGTAAATATGTCAAGTTTGACAGCAAACGGACATTCCATGTTATTCGATTTGACTTATTATAATGACCTATAAATTCAGCACACATCAATAAAATGGCTTACCTTGGAGCTAAGTGGCCGGACTATGCGCGCTTTGATTATCGGACTTTATCGGGATTATTCAGTTCTGTGGACGAAAAATATTTTTGTCAGAAGTACGCCTTGAAAAAAGGATGTATCCGCTATAAAAAGTTTATGCTTGATAAAACAAATTAACTTTTTGCTCTTTGCTGTATAAAAAATCAAAAACAAACAAACAAACAAAATATTGCCTACATATCCACTCATGTCATCGCGAGCCTTTTTTTCGTTCAAGACTTTAAATTGATATTTATATTTACCTTTAAATTTAAAAGGATTGCAAAAAATATATATGAAAAATGGGCAAACAGACAAACAAACGTTTAAAAGAAAAAAAAACTGAAAGACCAAATAAACAATAACACTAAACACACAATCAAATATATATAAAAAAAACCTATGGATTCCATTTCAATTATATCTGTGTGTTATAAAAAAAGTTAGCACTAAATGTACTTACATATATTTTCCTGCACTGATTATACTGTCCCGGGCTCTGATCTCTCCAAACGGAGGTGTTGAAATGATTATTGTGCGGGAATAGATAGACTAAACTATTGAAAGMAAATACTCTAAATATTTAATGGCTATAACGTTTTCGTGACAGGTAAAGGTCCTTATCCCGTAGTGAATACAACACTATAACCAGCAAACTAGCGAACAATGGAAATTTTTTTTCGCTTCGTCTATTAATTCATATATAACAGGTCATAAAAACKTTTTATAATGAAAATGAACTGAGTTTATTTTYTTATTGTTGTCTTATTTTC